TAAAATACATATAACAAAAAATTTGCCATTTTTAAGTGTACAATTCAGTGACATTAATTACATTCACCGTATAATATTACCATCACCACTATCCACTTTGAAAAGTTGGTCATCACCCCAAACAGAAACTCAGGACTCCTTCAGCAATAACTCACATTCCCTCCTCTCTCTAGCCGCTGGTAACCACTAATAAACTTTGATCTTTGTGCATTGTCTATTCTAGGTATTTCATATAAGTGAGACCCTACAATATTTTTTATTGTTGCAAAATTATAGATATTTGCCCACTCAACATTTTTCAAGTGTAAAATTTAGTGATATCAATTACATTAATCATGTTATGCAACCATCACCAATACTTGTTGCCAAATTTCGCATCACTATAAACAGAAACTCGCCGCTTCCTAATCAATAACTCCTCTTTCCCATTCCCTCTCACCCCTGGTAACTGCTAATAAAAATTTGGTCTTGTACGTTTGTCTGTTCTAGATATTGCATATAAATGAGATCATACAATATATGTCCTTTTGCGTCTGACTTACGTCACTCAGCATAGCGTTTTCAAGGCTTATCCATGTCGTAGCATGCATCAGAACTTCATTTCTCTTTCTGGCTGAATAATATTTCATTGTATGTCTATACCACATTTTGTTTATCTAGACATCTTTGATGGACACTTGGGTTGTTTCCACCCTTTGGCTCTTGTTAATAATGCTGCAATGAACATTGGTGTACAAGTATCTGTTTGAATCCCTGCTTTCAAGTCTCCTGGGTATATATACCTAGGAGTAGAATTGCTGGATCATATAGTAATTCTGTGTTTAAGGTTTTGAGGAAACACCAAACTGTTTTCCACAGTGGCTGTACCATTTTACATTCCCAACAGCAATGTATGAGGGTTCCAGTCTCTCCACATCCTTGCCAACGCTGCTAGCTTCTGTTTTTCTGATAATAGTCATTTAATGGATGTGAGGTGGTACCTCATTGTGGTTTTGATTTGCATTTCCCTAGGTGGTACAAACGATTTGCTTTCGACTGCTAACCTAAAGGTCAGCGGTTCAAACCCACCCGGCAGTACTGTGGAAGAAAAGACCTAGTGATCCACTTCCGTTACAGTTACAGCCAAGAAAACCCTATGAAGCCGTTCTGCTTGGTAATACATGGGGTCTCCATGAGTCAGAATCGACTCGGTGGCAACTAACAATGACAACAACAAATGACGTTGAGTATGTTTTCATGTGCTTATTGGCCATTTGTATATCGTACATTTATTTTTAATGCATTTTTTTCACGTTTGTGTTATATTTTACAAGAGAACGGTTTAAAAGTGGAATGATTTAGAACACACGGCTCCCTGTGCCTTGATTGAAAGAGTATTTCCTCTTCTTGGCTCCAGGCGTGCCCAGACTGTGGTCCCTTCCCATTAGACGTTCGCTTTGCTTTCTGACCCATATTCCATGGCCTTTCTCTGCCACATGTTTACTTTCAAGATGGAACAAACAGATTCCTGGGGTTCCTCTATTTTTTTCTTAAAGACTACCGGAAAACACTGTTTCTGAACTGGCCTACCTGAAATTGAATGTCTTCATTTGTGGCAAACAAGGCTATACAGCACACATATTTCTGCGTCTTTAAGTTAACTATGTGGTAGAGGCATCCTTCTAAGTCAGTATTTTTTTTTTTAAGAGCTGCAGAGTATTTCATTGCATGGATGTACCACAATTTATTGAATCAACCCTCTGTCGGTGAATATTTAGGTGACTCCTGATTCTCTGCTAATCAATAAGCGAGAAAATGGCCTGTGTGCTCCATGAGGGTGGGGCCCAAGTCTTAGTCACTGATGTACTGCAGCCTCCAGCTCAGTGCCCAAGATGTGCTTAATAAAATGTTTGTGGAATGAAATGAGTGAAGACGCACTGACTAATGAACCACCTTGTATCTGTGTGAGCACAAAGACAGGATTCTTAGTGGAAGCCCGTTAGGCAAAGGGCAGACTGGCAGTGGTGCCCAATGGTTTAGGCCTGAATCAGACTGAAATTGCATCCCAGCTCTTCCTCGTGGTAGCTGTGTGAGCTTAGGCAGCTACTTAATCTCTCTTTGCTTTAGTGTCCTCATCTGTAAAATGGGTATAATAAGGGCCCCGCCCCATAGGGCTGCTGTGAGGACTAAACCAGTGAATACATGTAAATATCTTAGCATAGGCCTAGACATCAGTACTCATTAAGTAGCAGTAGAATGGAATCATTTAAACTGACTTCAATTGTAAAAATGCAGCAAGGAAGATGGCCCTCTTGGGGTGACAACAGGAAAACCAGGCCCTTGTGACAGGCCCCTGATTTGGTGGTGGTAGTGGTTGGTTTGATTTGGTTTCAGGGTGTCAGTTTTTCTCCTGCAGAATCAGCTGTTCCCTTAAGGAGAGTATTTATACCCAGAGTCTGTCACCATGGAGACAGTCAACAGTAGGGAATCCAAGATCACATCACCTCTCCCTGGAGGCCTAAAGTAGACTCTCAGGGCCCTTTTATCCCCAGAGTTATCAAGGTGTCTTCCACCCACTTGGGAGGGCAGCTGGGAAAAGAAAAGGGCACCCCAAACTCAGCCACTCCATCACATCCCCTATAAACCTAAAAGTGCACCAAGTCAAAGGAGCTTGGGGAGAAGCCTTGTCATGTTTGTGAGAGCGGTGAGCCCACAGTCATACTCCACTCCCAGCTGGCACATCGAGCCCAAGTATTCCACTCGCGTGCTCACTGGGAACTGGGTGGAAGAGAGAAGGAAGGTAAGGAGAGAGAAGAGGGGGGTAGAGGGCGCAGAAGGGGGACTGGCAGGGAGAGGCAGAGGGGGAGATCCATCACTGTTTCCAAATCAAGAGACTCAGATGGCTGTGCGTGCATCTTACGAACGTGGCACCAGGGTCTCTGTGCTCGACTTTGGAGGTCATGTTCAAGCCATCACCCTGGTCCCCATTCTATCTTGAAAATACCATAGCTGGGGCGTCAAGAGAGCAGTGCCTCTCAGGACTGTCCCTAATTCTTCTGCACGTTGATTTGAAGAATGCCCGCTCCCCTGGTCTGGTCCTTCCAGAACGTGGCACCTGCCGAGGCAGGCTTGGCCCCTCCCTTGCCTTGATGTCCAGGGTGGGCTGCTGCTCTCTGGCACGTGGTCCCTGACCCTGCCTCCCATGTATTTCAATTTTTATTTTCCAAATGAAACACATAGGCTCCTGGCGTTCCTCTGTGCTTTAAAGACCGTTGGAAAATACTTTATCTGACCTGGCGTACTTCAGGTTGAACATCTTCATTTGTGGCCAACAAGACTGAGCCACGTGTGCAGACACCTGGGTAGCCTCCCACGTTCCTGGGAAAAGGGCAAGGAAAAGAGAGTGCGAGAGCACTGGCGTGGGGGACGTTGATGGTGACCTCTGAGAACCCGAAGAGGCTGCGTTCATGGGAATATTAGCATTGATCTCTCCTTTCGCCAGATATGACCTGCAGCTATTGTTCTCCCTGACTGCACCTGTTTGGGGGACAGGTTGTGTAAGGGAAGTTCCAAGGGCAAGAAGGACAAAGGGAAAAGTTGTCTGAGCAGTCCCTTGAGGCTCCTGTGGGTGAGCTGGTCCCCAGGGATGTTATGGGCTGGTCTCCCACCTAGAAGGGATGGCTTAAAGAGCGCAAGGAACAAAGCAGGAGAGGAAGGGAGGAGGCAAGCAGGGGAGAGGAGCATAGAGAAGATGAGAAAGAAAACAGATGCCAACAGTGAGAAGTGGTCAAGCGGCGCCTATCATGGCTCTTCCAAGAGGTCCTGGAGGGTGGTCCCAGCCCCATACTCTAGCATGAGAGGCAGAATTCAGCCTGCACTGTGAGGGATGCCTGGGGCCCGCATTTACTCTTTCTCTGCCAATTTTTCAAGGGCCTAAGAGGTGAGAGGCCCAGCAGATATCAGAGAAAGGGCATCACAGAGGTTCTCCAGAATATTTGGTCTTTTCCAGTTCACCAGAGCCACTGAGAAAACACCCCAGTGCATTTACAGAAAAGAGTACATTCCCTTTCCAGACCACAGGCCGGACCTGATCTCCAGGTGGTACGGGAAGAGAAGAGTGGAGGTAAGGGAGTGGCGGTCCTTGGTTCTGATGGTCCCACATAGCCCAGAGGACACAGAACCTGCTTCTTTTTTTTTTCTTTGATTTTTTTTTTTTATTGTACTTTAGATGAAGGTTTACAGAACAAACTAGCTTCTCAATAAACCGTTAGTACACATATTGTTTTATGATATTGGTTATCAACCCCAGCACATGTCAACACTCTCCCTCTTGACCTTATGGAACCCACTTCTTACAGACCCATTCCCCTCTTGGGAAAACAAGACTTGTCTCACTCATACCTTCCCCAGCAGAGGGGCTGCCATTAGCATTAACCCTTCATTATCTGTGTGAGTAGATGATCTGGGTTGTTGTTAACTGTTGTTGAGTTGCCCCCGACTCATGGAGACCCCATGCACAATGGAATGTGCCATCTCCATGATGGGTTGCAGATCAGACTACCTTGTGATCCATAGGGTTTTCACTGGCCAGTTTTCAGAAGTAGATCACCAAGCCTTTCTTCCTAGTCTGTCTTAGTCCAAAAGCTCTGCTGAAACCTGTTTAGCGTCACAGCAACGTGCAAGCTTCCACTGACAAATAGGCGGTAGCTGCATATGAGGCGCATTGGCTGGGGATGGAACTTAGGTCTCATGGAAGGTGAGAATTCTGCTACTGAACTACCACTGAGGCACCCAAGACCAGGAGAAGGGGCTAGAAAGTCCCTGTTGGTCTCTCTGCTCTCCCGCCGAGCCCTGGGCTGAGCCACTGTGTCTCCTCAGCACTGCTCTTTCTTGATGGGAAACCCTCCAACTCACTTTCCCTGGCACTGGAAAGATATTGAGGGGCACCTGGTGATGTACATCTTGGGAAATCCTGCTTAATTGTCTGTGCCCATCCCCTTGTCTCCCTCTGGCATTGTGATCTGACTTATTTATGGAACCACCAGTTGAAATATTGGATCCAGCCAGCCTTTCCCAACCATAGCAGACACAGCCCTCCCTGTCTGCTCCAGACAAGAGGATTGGCATGGAAATCAACATTAGCCTCCCCTGTAAATCAGCCTGGTTCTCCAGGACCCCCTTCCAGGGCCAAAGGATTTTCTTAGGAAAACCACTGATTCAGACAAACATCCCAGAGCAAGGCAGAACCTGGCTTTCTTCTCCCTGTACATAATCCCCCACCAAAGAAATCCCTCCCCATTTTCCAGCTGAGGGAGCCATAAATCCTTCAAAGGAGAAGACAATTTATAGGGTGCTCTCTGATTCTTCCCACAGCAACCGATTGAAATATAAAGTGCAAACATCAGGGCCTGTGTTCAACGTCTTTCTCTCCCCTTGGAAATCTGCACTCGAGTGGAATGAGACTTGAGACAGATCAACGGGCATCATTTCAGATTACAAGGGCGTGCAGCTCGGTGGCATTGACCCCCTTCCCATTCAGCTGGGAGTCCTCGCTTTAATTTCAATGTGTCACCACAACTCATTCTAGGGATGAATTGACTTGGCATTAGGGGAGGGGTCTTACAGAGAACTGACTGCAGCAATGCTGGGACATGTGCTTGAGGGTGGCCTTTCAGGGTGGGGCAAGCAAGTGTGTCTCGCCGGAGAACTCAGGTGGACACACTAGTTTGACCCAGAGGCAGCCCTCCCCATCAGTACCATAGACCCCCACAGCCGGCAGCTTCTGCCTCCTTCCAACGTTGGTGGACTGCCTTGCTTTGATCAGCAATGTGCCCAATGTGTCTGTCCTTTCAGGGGCTCCCGTACAAACATCTGATCACCCACCACCAGGAGCCATCACACCGCTGTCTTATCAGCACCTACGATGACCATTACAACCGGCATAACTACAATCCTGGCCTGCCCCTGCATCGTACCTGGAGTGGACATAAGTTGCTGTGGCTACCAGAGAAGGCAGACTTCCCCCTTCTTGGTACTTCTGTAATCAGGATTTTCTCCTGTGTTGGGCTGCGCAGGGCCCAGATCAGCTTAAGGCTAGAGTTGGGCCAAGTCCTGCAAAAGGACCTCACATTAGTGGCCATGGGCTCCAGGAGAGTATTGGAATAAGATTCTAGGGGAATAAATCTTATTTCTCCTGCAGGGCTGCCACTTACCCTCTTCCCACGCCACCAGGGATAATCATGGCCGCCTAATGATTATTCCACCTGGGAACAGCAGCAGTACATTTACCTGGAGCACAGGTGGCAGAGGGTCACATCCCCGCACATTCCATGACCAGTCATTCATTCCATAAATGTTGTGTTGTCGTGTGCCATTGAGTCCATGCTGAACAGGTTTCAGTAGAGCTTCCAGACTAAGACAGATTAGGAAGAAAGGCCTGGCGATTTTCTTCTGAAAATCAGCCAATGAAAATCCTATAGATCACAACAGTCTGATCTGCAACCAATCACAGCGACCCTGTATGACAGAGTACAACTGCTGCATTGGATTTCGTAGGTTGTAATCTTTATGGGAACAAAACACCAGGTCTTTCTTCCGTGGAGTGGCTAGGTGGGTTCAAACCACCAACCTTTCAGTCAGCAGCCGGCTGCTTAACCATTGTGCCTCCAGGGCATAAATAGGGACTGAATGACTCTTATGTGTCACACCGTGCTGTGGGACTCAGAGACACAGCAGTGACAAACACCACGGAATTGCTGCCTTTGGGGAGTTGACATCCCGATAAGACACCACTAACATACAATATAACTTCAGATCCAATAAATAAGATAGGGATAGTGGGTAGGAAGTGAGGCAGGATCTCTGCGACCCTCCTTTCCGTGAAATGTTGAGGGAAGGCCTTAGTTGAACTGAGACCTGACTGATGAGAAAGAGGGAGCCAAGCAAAGATTAGGGGGAAGGGCATTCCAGGAGAGGCAAGAAAAAAAACAAAAACCAAACCCACTGCCTTCAAGTTGATTCTGACTCATAGTGACCCCACAGAGTTTCCAAGGCTGTAAATCTCTATGGAAGCAGACTGCCACATCTTTCTCCCACGGAGCTGATGGTAGTTTCGAACCTCCAAACTTTCTGGTTAGCAGTTGAATGCTTTAACCACTGCACCACCAGGTTTCCCTAGGAGACAGAAGAGCAAGTGCAAAAGCTGTAAGGCAGGACTGGGGAGGACCGTGCACTGGCTCACAGGCCATAATATGGGGTGTGGATTTTGTCGCGCACACAATCGTGTGAGGCTTTGGAGGAATTTATGTAGGAGAGTGCCTTGATTTGATTTACATTTCAAGCTACACCCACCCTACCAGGGACACAGATCGATGCCATCTCTTCAGTCCTTTGATGCAAAGGGACATGGGTCAGAGAGTGAGCTGCTTGTCCCTCCGAGTTACATTCACATGGCCTTCTCCTCAACATCACGGTCACAAGCCATCACTGCTCCCATCCCTAGGAAGGTGGGACGGTTCCACAAGAGCAACCCTCAAGCCAGGTTACTAGACAGACTTTCCTGAGGCCTTTGTATCATTACCCTGGTCCTTCCCAAGTGTCCAGGGGGTATGCTCCCACCCTGACGGTCTCAGGGGCTGGCTGTGCCAAGACCCTCCAGGAAGCCCATCTCCTTCCTCTGGGCCAGAGCCACCTGGGTCCCTGACACAGCAGCCTGAGAGAAATACCAGGGCCCCCTGCCCATCTACTCTCCTTGCCAGCCAGAGCAGGGCCCCTCCTCTAAGCCCTGGTTTCTCTTGCAGCTCCCCCTACAAACTATGGACTCTATGAGCAGCTGAAGCGGAGGTGGAGCAGATCCGAGGCCGGCCCCGGAGAGAGCATCTATACTTCGTCTTACCCCAGACCACCCGTGTCTGCCATGTCCTGGCGGGAGCACGCGATCCCGGTCCCTCCCCCTCGCTTGCACCCTCTCCCAAGCTTCTGAGAACTGCCACCCCCACTGGCTGCTCAGGCAGCACCAACTGGAGACCCACAACTCGTGGAACTTGCCAGACTGCAAGTGACAGCCGATGTACCAGGAGTATGAAACCCAGCCCATCAGAGCTGCCCTTAAAATCCTGGCCTGGTTTTTAGGCAACCCTCCTCTTCCTCCTTCAAACCCATAGGTTACTTTTTTCCCTCCATAATTAAATCTCTTTGACACCATTGGGATGTTGTGTGTGTACAGAAGACAGACGTAGAATGCCGGAAAAAACTGGAAGGACCCTTAAGTTACCCCCCTCATTTCACAGGAGGGCAAACTGAGGCTTAGAAAGGTGACATGACCCCCTCATGTTCTCACAAATTGAAATGCACCCTCAATGAGTGTCTGGTCCAATGGGAGAAATTTCTCTGACTACCAAGACCCATCTTGAAAACTCAACGGGATAGTCACATGAGGTTACAATGAGGGCAGAGCTAAAAACGCTGACGTCTGTAGTTAGCAAGACGGGAGGAAGATGCTCACTGAGAAGAAGGAGAAGGAACAGCATTTCTCTCTCTTCTGAGCTCTAGAGTCTTTTCTGAGTTTGGGGTCGGGGAACCTTTTGGTCAGTGGTTTGGGAATGAAGATAGAAGAATTTGGGCACTGTCCTCGCCCAGGACAGAAGCTGCATGTTCTACCACCTGACATGAACAGACGCCACCTCGGGTTGGGAATAACATGTCCCTAATCCACCTTCTTTGACCTTCAGGACTTAAAGCCTATCTTTGAATCAACTCATTGGCAACTGGTTTTTCTTTGAATGGCCTTTCTCTGCCGTTTACCTCCACCCCAATTGTTTGTATTCCTTGCTTTAGTCACAGTGCCTAGTATACAAACCAGTTGTCAATCAATTTGATTCTGATTCCTGGTGACCCCATGTGCACCAGAGTAGAATTGTGATCCACAGGGTTTTCAATGGCTTATTTTTCAGAAGTAGATCACCAGGCCTTTCTTCTGAGGTGACTCTGGATGGACGCGAATCACCAACCTTTTGGTCAGCAGCCAAGTGTGTTAACTCTTTGTACCACCCAGGGAGCCTCTGCCTGGTATATAGCTGGTGCTTAATAATTGTCGACTGGATGAGTGAATGAACTATCATCCCTTTTGCTGTTCCACTCTGGGTACCCTCTCCCACCGCTGTATCCCACTCTTGTTCTCGCACTGAGTCTCTACCCAACTGCACCCCATGGAACCCTTGCTCCAACGGGACCTCCATCTGCAGGCCCCAATCAACATGGACCCCCGGAGGCCCTATATACTTCCAAGAGCTCAGCTTCTCTTACTCTTAACTCAGAGGAAAGAGGGTGTGGAGATTAATGTCCTGTGGGTTCCCCCTGCCAATTTCAGAGAGGAAATCACCTCCCTGCTTCTCCATCATTTAAAATCTGGCCATGTGTCTGTCTTAGTGGTATCATGAGAATCTGTGATTTCATGCCATCATGCTATGTGGTATCAGGCCAGTTGATTTGACTTGTTTTGCCACCTGAAACAAACAACAACCAACCAACAAGTGTTTTCCTACTTTGCATAAAAAATAAATTACTCTTCCATGAATATTTTCCTTACATTTTTGGTACTTGCTACCACGTTCCAGTAAATGACAAAAAAAAAAAAAAAAAAAAAGCAGAGAAAATGGAAGAGTTACAATTTATTGTGGGTCGAGCAAGTACTAAGTGCCAGGATCTGAGGCTAATGGGAATTATCTCATTGAATTGTTCTGCTGTGCTCCTGGGTAGGTGCCTCCAGATAACCCTGACTCATGGCGACCCCTTGTGCGTCAGAGTAGAACTGCACTCCATAGGGTTTTCAATGACTGATTTTTCAGAAGTAGATTGCCAGGCCTTTCTTCTGAGGTGCCTCTGGATGGGCTCCAGCCTCCAAACTTTCATCTAGCAGCTGAGCATGTTTACTATTTGCACCACCCAGGGACTACCTAGGTGCCCCCAGGCAGGAACTAGTAGTATCATTTCAGTTTTACCGAGGAGGAAATGGGCAAAGAGAGTTTAATCAACTGGCCTGAGACCACACAGCTGTTATGTCCTTGAGCTGGGGTTTGAACCCAGGCAGTCTGGCCCCAGAGCTTGCATGCTCAGCCACTGTGTAAAACTGCCTCTTCAGAGATACAGCAGCAGAAACACTCAGCACCAGCTGGGCACATCTGGGGCTTCTGTTTGCTTGATTTTGGGCACATGTGCATGCCTGGTGGTGAGTTTATACCACAGACATATAATATCATTCAAAGTTTGAGAAAAAACCCTGGATTTGTGCCATCCTTTTCACAGAACATCTATTGCCCCAGGTCTCCCGCTCCAGCCTGACCTCAGCACCTACTCTGGTCCCTTTGATTATTGAATGGCATTCTCTTCCTTGCTTAATTAAAATGGCCATGGAGTTATACATAGATATGTAGTGCGTGTGTGTGTGTGTGTGTGTATGTGTGTGTGTGTCTTAGCTATCCATGATGTAACTTCTTTTTCAATGTCACTGTATTAACAGTGGAACACAAAAGTGGTGTATGCCATTTTAGCGGAATGAGATGAACTGGATTATAAAATTTTTAGTTGATGCAGGGTACTAAGATTTTTACTATATACCACATTTTCTACAAAAAGAACATTCCACATATTCTACAACAAAGCAAATGAATTAGTGAACTTAGTTGTTTCAACAATCAATGTAAAATTCTGTTCATCTTCCACAATGGAAAAATTAACTTTCACCAGTTTTGCTTTAAATAGCTCATATTTCAATTTTGATGCTTGTCTTGTAGTAAATGCTGTAATTATAAATGAACAATGAAAAGATGTTATAAAAGAAAATTTAATGATCGGAAAACAAATATTACAGCAAATTACTATATTTTATTTTTAGATTTATCTTTCATCTCTAACATGTTATAATTTAAAAATTTTCTTCTATTCTTTGCTCTTACAAATTCTTCAGTGATTTCATCACAGTTAAGCTGCCGAACAGCGTCTACTTCTATACACAGTAAGGATAATGAATCAAGTCTTTCTTGAATCACTGTTGTACGCTGAGGGTTTTTGAGTCTCTTTAAGGACAAAAATGAGCGTTCTGTTGTGCAGTTTGTGATCATTAAAGTGAGGAATATGCATAAAGCTATTTCAACATTGGGAAATATGCATTGTATTTTATCTTCTATCACGGAATCATACATGCCTACATGAGTAAAATTTGTCTTTCTTGAATCTGTAAACTTAGTTCTTGTGTAAGAATGAAACTGTCACACCTTTCTGTAAAAGTGTGTATTTCAGTCATCAGGACAAGCCTGCACTAATTTCTTGAATGCCTTCATTCGTTCTTCATCAGGTACATCCATGCCTTTTGTTACTTTCTTGGAAGACGACGTTAAAAACACACCCGTTGCAAAACAGAAACATATTTTGCACAATAAATAAATATGGAATTTTTTGTCCTCTTAATGTGCCTCTTGGAGCCCTGGTGGCGCAGTGGTTAAGAGCTCTGCTACTAACCGAAAGGTCAACAGTTCGAATCCACCAGCTTCTCCTTGGAAACTCTATGGGGCAGTTCTACTCTGTCTTATAGGGTTGCTATGAGTCGAAATTGACTTGATGGCAAGGGGTTTGGTTTTGGCTTATGTGCTTATTACCTTGCTTATTAGCATATAGAGAGTAATATCAAGGACTGTGTCCCACACAGCAGACAATAGAAAATGAAACTCACTTGATATGTAAATTAAAACTTTTCATGTTAGAGAAATATTGATATTTCCAGTATTCTTTGGACTTTTGCTATGTTAGTATTATATTATTACCCATGTTAGTATTAAATTAAACATATGCTAGATTGTGTCCATGTGTATGCCTAACATTTTACATTTAAAGTTATAAATACTATTGTTTACAAAACTTAGAACATAACTACGTAAATGCTACACAGTTAAAAAGCAACTTAATTGAATTCATTGCAGTAGTTGACTTACTCGAGTTCCCTCACTTTTGCATGTCATCTGGGGCTGGAGTTCCCACTGGTTGTTTACCAGGACATGCACTAGAGCATAGGTGTTTGTATAATAAGAGTATTGCTGGCCCTCCTGGCTGGAGTTGCTGAATCAGCAGATATAGATGTACAAGAGGGTTCTCTCAAAATGGATCAGAGACCTGTTCTTGCCCAGTAACCTCTCATGTTGGATCCAGTTGCATATTGGGTGAATGTAGCAAGAGTTAGACTCAACAGTCCACCCCACCACTTGTTGATTAGAAAGAAATAGTATACTCTCAAGAGACCTGCCAACATAAGGAGTTTCAGTTACACAGGAGGAGACCATAGGAGACAGATGTCCACAAAGGTGTTGAAGAGGTAGGGGACTTCACAGCTTAAACGATCTTGCACATGGGTGCCCTCGTGACCCTGCGTGAAATTTATTACTGGCCTGCACATTGTCAGACACTGGAGCTGGTATCAATTTCATTTAGGGCCCTCCTACTTCCCTTCCACTACGGTGCTTGCTTTTCCTTGAGTGCTGTCTGCTTGGCATCTATAGGTCTTTGCTTTGTACAACTGGTACTCCTGTTTTGTTGATGCCTTAGCACTTGCTTACCTTGCTTATTGGGTAATCTATCCCTGCCAATCTCATCGACCTGCACCGGTCCTCCAGTTAACTATGGGCCAGGCCCCCTTACCTTTTCTTTCACGGCTGACCATTCTGGGTCCACAGTGCCCCCTAGTGACGGAGGTGCAATATCGTCAGCAAAACCAGACAAGATAATAGGACTGGAGAAAGGTAGAAGAGCTAAACAATGACAAGAAACTGGATTTGGAAAAGACCTTGGAAGAGAAAAACATTAGGAGAAGACCAGGAGTGTACATTCTGAGAGAAAATATTCTAACTGAATCCCAGCTGGAATGGCGTCTGCTCCACGTTCTAATGGAGCAGTGGTGGTTCAGTAGAAGACTTCTCACCTTCCACGCAGTAGTCCTGAGTTCGATTCCCAGCCAATGCACCTCATGCACAGCCACCGCCTGTCAGTCAGTGGAGGCTTACATGTTGCCATGAGGCTCAGCAGTTTTCAGTGAAGCTTCCAGACTAAGATAGACTAGAAAGAAAGGCCTGGCTATTTCCTTTCAAATATCAGCTAAGGGTTTTCAAAGATTCAGTCCGCAACGGGTCAAGGAATGGTGCAAGACCATGCAGCATTTCATTCCGTGGTGCATGGGGTCACCATGAGTTGGGGGCCGACTTGACAGCAGCTCACAACAACAACAGCAAGTTGATCAACTGGACCAGAGTGGATAGAAGTGGTATTCAGGTAAGATGGTCCCCTGAAACATCTCGAGTGTCCTGGGAAGCCCCTGTCAATCTCTTTGTCCTTTTCACTGAAGAGCTAGGTGGAGTCTGTGCCCTGCGGCCACCCTGCAGGGGGAAGGAAATAAGGAGGAGCAGCCTTTATTTTTTCCAAGTCACTGTCCTCACAAGAGTATTTCTCCTGTGACAGTGTTGGGGCCACTGATTGCAAAGCCACAGTTATGTTCAGAACCTCTGCTCAGGGTGAGACAAGGAAACAAATTGCTTTGGTAATTTTTAAGTTCCACCAAATCAGGAGGGGTCAGTCCCTGGAGAAGGGCATCATACTTGGTAAAGTAGAGGGTCAGCGAAAAAGAGGAACACCCTCAACATGATGGACTGACACAGTGGCTACAACAATGGGCTCAAGCACAACAATTGTGAGGATGGCACAGGACCGGGCAGTATTTTGTTCTGTTGTGCATAGGGTCACTATGAGTCGGAACCGACTCGACAGCACCTAACAACAACAATCAACCAAACCTGTTGCTGTCGAACCTCACACTCAGCCTCACACTCCTCGTCTCCCAGAGAAGCATAAGTGATGAGAGTGGTTGTGACGAAAGCATGAAGATGCCCCAGAGGAAGTGACACCAACAAAGTCTTTACATTAATGGAACTCTCAGAGACATTTCGCATTGAAAACACAAACGATACTATGTTGGAAGCTGATCCATATGACAATTTAGTAAGGCATAGATACGATGCTCACTCTGTATCGTAAGCTACATGCCAAGAAGGAAAAGGCAATCACTGTTCAAACTACTCTTGATATATCTTTTTAATTGTGGTACATACATATGTAACATGGTCTCGGGGAACATCTAGCTCAATTGGCATAACATAGTTAATAAAGAAAATGTTCTACATTCTACCTTGGTGAGTAGCGTCTGGGGTGTTTAAAGCCTGTGAGCAGCCATCTAAGATTCTCCAATGGTCTCACCACTTCGGCAGCAAGGGAGAATGAAGAAAACAAGACATAAGGAAAAGATAAGCCCAAAGGGCTAATGCACCACAACTACCACGGCCTCCACCAGACTGAGTCCAGTACAGCTAGATGGTGCCCGGCTACCACCACTGACTGCTCTGACCGGGATCACAGCAGAGGGTGCGCAGCAGAGCTGGAGAAAAATGTAGAACAAAATTCTAACTCACAAAAAAAGACCAGACTTACTGGCCTGACAGAGACTGGAAAAACCCCAAGAGTATGGCCCCCAGACACCCTTTTAGCTCAGTAATGAAGTCACTCCTGAGGTTCACCACTCAGCCAAGGATTAGACAGCCCCATAAAACAAAATGAGACTAATGGGGCACAACAGTCCAGGGACAAGGACTAGAAGGCAGGAGGGGACAGGAAAGCTGGTAATAGGGAACCCAAGGTTGAGAAGGGACAGTGTTGACTTGTCATGGCGTTGTTAACCATTGGCCTAAAACAATATGTGTACTAACTGTTTAATGAGAAACTATTTGTTCTGTAAACCTTCATCAAAAGTATAATAAAAAAATAAAAATAAAGAAATCAAACAACATGTTGCATTGAGCAAATCTGCTACAAAAGACCTCTTTAAAGTGTTCAGAATCAAAGATGTCACTTTGAGGATGAAGGTGTGCCTAACTCAAGCTGTGGAAAAATATATATATATACAGCACTCTCTTCAAAATATCTGGTTCTTCACCATATCCTTTGACTACCTTCTTGCTTCATTGGAATAATATTGAGCATACTGAGAATATTGTAGGTGGTTCTCAGGGCATTTATTAGGCATTTCATGTTAAAATACCTTGTTAATAAATGATCCTTTGGCATTAAAAAAAAACATACATAACAAAAACATTTGCCATTTTAACAATCTTCACATTTAAAGTTCGGTGACATCACGCTCATCATGATGTTTAACCTTGTCGTCCTCATCTGTTCCCAAATTATGTTGTTGCTGTGTGATGTCAAGTTGATTTCGACTCATGGCGACCTCATGTGACAGAGTAGAACTGTTCCATTGGGTTTCCTAGGCTGTAATCTTTACAGAAGCAGATCGCCAGATCTTTCTCCCAGGGAATCGCTGGTGAGTTTGCACCGCCAGCGGGTTCGAACTGCCAAGCTTTCGGTTATCAGCCAAATTATACCACCACCCTTAACAGAAATTCAGTACCCCCTAAGCACTGAGCCCTCCTTCCCTCCTTCACTCCCACTCACCCCTGGCAACCACTAATAAACTTTGGTCTCTATACATTTGTCAATTCTAGATATTTCATATAAGTGGGATCATACAGTACTTGTCTTTTTGTGACTGACTTATTTCATGCAGCATAATGTTGATACTTTTTTTTTTTTTTTTACAAAGAAATAAAACACTTTAATTCTCAATGTTTAAACTACAATGTACTAAATAAATATTGTTGTTGCTGTTGGGTGCCATCAAGTCGAATTTCAACACATCTCAACCCCATGTGACATAGTAGGGCTTCCCCATAGGGTTTCCTAGGCTGTAGTCTTTAGCAACGATTGTGAGGATGGCGTGGGACCGGGCAGTGTTTTGTTATGTTGTATGTAGAGCCGCTATGGGTCAGAACTGACTGGACAGCACCTAACAATAACAACAAAAATCGTTATGGGTTAGCAGCCTAGTGCTTAACCATTGTACTACCAAGGCAACTGTTGCTGGGGTTTTTTTGGGTCGAGTGGGGTGGAGGGCAAGTACTCCCAGCCACCAAATTCAGTCCCACAGTGCCCCCCAGTGGTCTCAGATGCAAGTCCCCCGACATTAAAGGGCACAGTTCTGGGAGACCAACATATCTGCCATTTCCCTCCTCCCATCTTGTGCTGGGTTCCTTATCAGCTTCCCTGGCCTATTCCCTGGCCACCATCCCTCTTCCTTCCCGTTTTCCCTCTGAGCCACCCAGCCAGAGTGAGGCATCCACACACTCCTCCTCCTGGCCTCTAAAGGCAAATTCCTAGGGATTAACTGCCTACACCCAGGAGCTGCTGACTGAAAGGTTGGCTTCTCTGCTCCTCCAGAGAAAATACCTGGTGATCTGTTTCCATAAAGATTACATCCAAGATAACCCTATGGGATAGTTATATTCTCTCACATGGGGTCACTATGAGTTGAAAATCAATTCAACGGCACCTAACAACAACAGGGTAACCCTGACATCTGCTCTTGAGTAAACCCCATTGCTGTCGAGTTGATCCCAACTCATAGCGACCCTATAGGACAGAGCAGAACTGCCCCATAGACTTTCAAAGGAGCACCTGGTGAATTCAAACAGCCAATCTTTTGGTTAGCAGCCATAGCACTTAACCACTACACAACCAGGGTTTCCCTGATCTTGATTGGTGGGGAAGAAAGAGGGGCAGCCCTTTGTTCAGGGCTAGATTTACAGGATCTGAAGTGAAACCAGATCCTGCTGAGTCCTGAATGAGGCAAAGTCCCAACAGGGACTTTTGACTTTCAGGAAGCCATAGAAGGCAAACCATTTCAGGATAAGACATCTGACTTTCTTCAAGAAGTTAAATATAGAAGTGCCGTATGATCCTGCAATTCTACTCCTAGATATATGCCCAAAAGAATTGAAAGTGGGAATGCAAACAGATACTTGTATACCAGTGTTCATTGTAACACTATGGACAAAACCCAAAGAATGGAAACAACCTAAATTAAAAGATGAATGGATAAACAAAACGTGGTATATACATACAATGAAATATTACACAGCCATAAAGAGAAATGAGAAATTCTAATGTATGCCACAACATGGATGAACATTGAAAACATTATGCTGAGCAAAACGTCAGTCGCAAAAGGACAAATACTATACGACCTCATTTTTATTAAACAAGCAAATATATAGAAACCGAAGCTTATTAGTGGTTACCAAGGGTAGGAGAGAGGGGGAAAGGTGGAGTTTTTGCTTGGGAGGCATTGAGCTTATGTTAATCTTGGTAGAATAATTAGGAGAAAGAGAAGGATAAGGGTTGCACAGCATGAAGAGGGTAATCAATGTCGTTGGATTGTGCATATAGAAACTGTTATATTGGCGAATATTTTGTTGTGTACATTTTTATCACAGACCAAAAAAAAGATAAATAGATAACCAAAATGTGGTACATACATACAGTGGAATATTACCCAGCCTTAAAGAGAAATGAAGTTCTGATGCACGCTACAACATGGATGAACTTTGAAACATCATGCTGAGTAAAATTAGTCCAAAACGACAAATGTTGTATGATCCCCCTTACATGAAATATTTACAAGAGACAAAGGTATAGAGATCAACATTTATTAGTGGTTACCAGGGGTGGAATGAGAGGGAAAGAGGGAATCATTGTTTCTTGGCACAGAAGAGTGAGTGCCTCCAGCATTGCATTTGTTGAAACATCTCAGTTGGTATTCTGTCAATTCCCGGAGCCTTGTTTTTTGCCAATGCCTTCAGTGCAGCTTGGACTTCCTCCTTCAAAACCATCAGTTCTCGATCATATGCTACCTCCTGAAATGGCTGGACATAGATCAATCCTTTTTGGTACAGTTACCCTGTGTATTCCTTCCATCTACTTTTGGTGCTTCCTGCATCATTCAACATCTTGCCCATAGAATCCTTCAGTATTGCAACTTGAGACTTGATCATTTTCTTCAGTTCTTTCAGCTTGAAAAATGCTGAGCCTGTTCTTCCCTTTTGGATTTCTAACTCCAGGTCTTTGCACATTTCATTATAATATTTTATTTTGTCTTCTTGAGTTGCCCTTTGAAATCTTCTGTTTAGCTCTTTTACTTCATCATTTCTGCCATTTGCTTTAGCTACTCTACATTCAAGAGCGACTTTCAGGGTCCCTTCTGACATCCATTTTGGTCTTTTCCTTCTTTCCTGTCTTTTTTATGACCTTTTGCTTTCTTCACGTTTGATGTCCTTGATGTCATTCCACAACTCATCTGATCTTAGGTCATTAGTGTTCAACAAGTCAAATCTATTCTTGAGATGGTCTCTAAATTCAGGTGGGATATACTCAGGGTTGTAATATGGCTCTCGTGGACTTGCTTAATTTAATTCAGTTTCAACTTGAACTTGCAGATAAGCAGTTGATACTTTGTTCCGCAGTCAGCCCCTGGCTTTCTTTTGAGTGATGATATTGAGCTTCTCCATCGTGTTTTTCCACAGATGTGGTAGATTTGATTCCTGTGTATTCCATCTGGCGAGATTCATGTGTATAGTTGCTGTTTATGTTGTTGAAAAAGGTATTTGCAATGAATAAAGTCATTGCTCTTGCAAAATTTTATCGTGCGATCTCCGGAGTCGTTTCCATCACCAAAGCCATATTATCCAACTAGTGATCCTTCTTCTTTGTTTCCAACTTTCACATTCTAATCACCAATAATTATCAGTGCATCTTGATTGCAGGTTTGATTAATTTAAGACTGCAGAAGTTGCTAAAAATCTTCAATTTCTTTATCTTTGGCATTAGCAGTTGGTGCGTAATTTGAATAATAGTTGTATTAACTGGTCTTCTTTGTAGGCGTGTGAATGAACCCCTCAGGTTGGAAGGCACTCAAAATATGTCTGAGGAAGAGCTACCTCCTCAAAGTAGAGTTGACCTGAATGACGTAGATGAAGTAAAGCTTTCAGGACCTTCATTGCTGATGCGGCATAACTCAAAATGAGAAGAAATAGCTGCAAACATCCGTTAATAATTAGAAAGTGGAATGTACAAAGTATGAATCTAAGAAAATTGGAAGTTATCAAAATGGAACGCATAAAAGATCGATATCCTAGGCATTAGTAAGCTGAAATGTACTGGTATTGGCCTTTTTGAATTGGACAATCATATGGTCTACTATGACAGGAATAACAAATGGAAGAGGAATGGCATCACATTCATTTTTAAAAAGAATATTTCAAGATTCCAAACCTGCATAGCAATCTGTTCATGGTGTTCCAAGTTGTTTATTTCTGACACTGTAAAGGTGAATGCCAAGGAGGTAAAATGTCTATAGGGCACATTCCAGGTTAACCCACTTTTATGCAAAAGCCATTCGTACTGAGTGTAGAAATGTGGGGAAAGGAATATTTCAGAAAGATACCCCAGATGAAGAACGTCCTTCAAAGAATTCAAGTCTCAGTGGAAAGCTGAACGCAGAGCTAGTGTGGTATAGAATTTTTTTGGGCAGCATGTTGAATGGGGAAGAGAAAGGCACGGGGAGTATTTTGCGATGGGAAGAGGTTATCTCTTTCTTTGTGCTCTGAAACTTCAAAGGAATTGAGGTATGATCCAGCCCAGGATGGGAATCATCCCTAAACCCAGCAGATCCTTAAACACTAAATGTTTTTGTTTTTAGCTGTCATTGAGTCAGTCCCTGACTCATGGTGATCCCATGTGCAACAGACTGAATCACTGCCTGGTCCTGCACCATCCCCACGGTCAGTTGGGGGAGTTGCAGATCGGACTGCTGTCATCCATAGGCTTTCATTGGCTGATTTTCAGAAGCGGATAGCCAGGCTTTTCTTTCTGGTCTGTCTTAGTCTGGAAGCTTCGCTGAAGCCTGTTCAGCATCACACACAGCCTCTACTGACAGATGGGTGGTGGCTGCACATGCGGTGCACTGGCTGGGAATTGAACCTGGGTCTCCTGCATGGAAGGCGAGAATTCTGCCATTGAATCACCAGTGACTCTAAACATCCAATAAACCAAAAAAAAAAAACCAAACCCATTGCCGTCGAGTCAATTCTGATCATAGCAACCCTACAGGACAGAGTAGAACTGCTCCATAGGGTTTCCAAGGAGCGGCTGGTGGATAAGAACTACTGACCTTCTGGTTAGCAGTTGAACTCTTAACCGTTGCACAACCAGGGCTCCAAAACACCCAATCCAAACCCATTGACATCAAGTCAATTCAGACTCATTGTGACCCTATAGGACAGAGTAGAACTGCTCCATAGGGCTCCAAAGGAGCTGCTGGTGGATTTGAACTACTGACCTTTTGGTTAGTAGCCATAGCTCTTAACTACTGTGCCACCAGGGCTTCTAAAACAACCAATAGAGCCTTTGAATTCTGTAGGGGAAAAGGTATTAGTATTTTGTGCTTAATATGGAAAGAGACAAAAATACGTTTTATCTATACGCCTAATGGCGTCTCTCTGATCAGTCTCTATGTCAGAGAAGCTGGGGGTGGGGTGGAGGTGCAGCATTTTTTACCTAAGATTGGTGAAACAGAGATTAGCAAAATATCTGAGGGAGGACCCCACGGAGATAAAGGTTAGGCTAAAGGCCCTCGGAAAATGCCTGGAGCTGCTTGCTGCCTGGGAATTGTTTTGCTGTGGGAAGAGGATCCCAGGCCCTACAAGAGAATGTCTCCTGGTAGCAGCTTCTAGGACGACCGGCTTCTGCGCACTGGGGCCATGTCCATTCTCTCCCTAGCTCCAAGGTCGCAGAGTCCTCAGCTGTCTTCCTACATAGTTTTAGGCTTAGAGACTGCCCTCCAGCCCCTCCAGCACTCACATTCCACATTTTAATCTTTTCAAGAGAGTTTGCTGAGATAATCCCATTTTTCTGGGAGGAAAAACCCTTTACCTCCAGCGTGGGAGCCAAGACTCAATCTCCCTCCGTGCCCCCGGTGATTACTGTGGGTTTAAAGGGTCTGTTTGGTGTGGTGTCCTCCAGTGGGTTCTGACTCATGGCAATCCCATGTGCTACAGATAGACCCCGTGTGTTACAGTGGTCTATAGGGTTTTTTTTTTTTTTTTTGGCTATAATCTTAATGGAAGCAGATTGCAATGCCTAGCTTCTGTGGTACTATAGGTGGGTTTGAACCACCAACTTTTAGGTCAGTGCTGCTGTTAGGTGTCATCGAGTCGGTTCCAACTCATAGTGACCCTATGTACAACAGAACAAAACACTGCCAGGTCCTGTGCCAGCCTCACAATCGTTGTTATTGTTGAGCCCATTATTGCCCTCACTGTGTCAATCTATCTCTTTGAGGGTCTTCCTCTTTATCCCTGACCCTCTACTTTACCAAGCATGATGTTTCCCCAGGGACTGGTCTCTTCTGATAACATATCCAAAGTATGTGAGACGAAGTCTTGCCATCCTTGCTTCTAGGGAGCATTCTGGCTGTATTTCTTCCAAGATAGATTTGTTCATTCTTCTGGCAGTCCATTTAGGGCAGTAGTCAAGGCAAATTTATGAGCCACCTAGGGACCTTCTTAAAGGGTCTACACTGTCTCATTTTTAACTACTTTCGGTTTATTTCCAAACTCTGTCTAGACAAAAGTCTTTCAGTTTCCCTCAGAAAATATTGTTTACATTGGGTCATTCACAACATCCCATTACCAACATCAGCCCCATCTGGCCCAGCCCCCACCCTCACTTCTCCAAACCAACTTCCAATTGTAATTTTGACTGACCTCCTTTAAAAACCCTTAACCCTCTAAATCTGGAAGACCAACCACACCCTCAACTATACTTCTTCGCCTCCCTGCACGGGCACATGATGTGCTATGTCAGGTAACAGAAAACTTTGGGGACAATTTGATACATGGAGATTTTTATTTCTTCTGTGACAACACCACTGTCTCCATAAAGCTGTTTTAACTCTGGAACATTTTGATAATTTTGATGTGGTCCCAAATCCCTCAACCATTATACTTTTAGGTTTGTTTTTTCTGGCTAATGTCAGGAACGGAAACCCTGATGGCATAGTGGTTAAGAGCTACGGATGCTAACCAAAAGGTTGGCAGTTCGAATCCACCAGGTCCTCCTTGGAAACCCTATGGGGCAGTTCTACTCTGACCTACAGGGTTGCTATGAGTTGGAGTCTACTTGACGGCAATGGTTTTTTTTAATGCCAGGAACAGATTAAACCCTTTCCTGTCTCACAACTGGGGCTTTGACAGTCACATGCTAGTAAAAACTCAATAAAGTTTTGTGGAGTACGTCAATGAACGGGTCCCTGATCCAACCAATTCAATCTGGAGAAAGACAAAGATCCAGTCAGGATTAATTGGATAGAGATTCAGAAATACTATCAAATTTCAGTCTTTGATTGGAAGCTGGGAGTTGAAAAGAGGAGGAGTGTGACCAGAAAGGTCTATAAAGACTTCTGAAGAGCTAAGGAGGGACTCAGAACCTAGACAGCTGGAGTCGCCACCATCCTGGCTCTGCCTGAGGTCTGAGTAGACCCACCCTGCCAGCACAGAGCCGATAAACCACGAACATCAGGTAAGGACACCACCATTTTACCTAAACTACAGGCCTTGGTGGCACAGTGGTTAAGGGCCAAAAGATCAGCAGTTCGAATCTATCAGCTGCTCCTTGGAAACCCTATGGGGCAGTTCTACTTTGTCCTATAGGGTAGCTCTGAGTCAGAATCAACTTGATGGCAACGGGTTTGTTTGTTTGTTTTTTGCAGACCAAGGAAAGGAGCCCTGGTGGGGCAATGGTTAAGCCCTTGGCTGCTAACCAAAAGGTTGGTGGTTCAAACCCACCAGCCACTCTGCTGGAGAAAGATGTGGCAGCCTGCTTCCATTAAGATTACAGCCTTAGAAACCCTATGGGGCAGTTCTACTCTGTCCTATAGGGTCACTATAAGTCGAAATAGACTTGACAGCAATGGGTTTGGGTTCTGGGTTTTTGCAGGCCAACGCTGCACAAAATTTTCCTTTTTCTTTACAAACGAAGTGATCTAAGGCTTTGCTTTTGCCTCGACATGCAGTTTTGCCTTAATCTATTTATTCCTTAACTAAACAGATTTTTTGGAAATGAAAAACATCTAACTGATTAAAATTTTATTTCACGCCCAGAGATTATGTTGTTGTTGGATGCTGTTGAGTCGATTCAAACTCTAGGGATCCTGTAGAACAGAGTAGAACTGTCCAACCTAGGCTGTAATCTTTACGGAAGCAGATCATCAGGTCTTTTCTCCAGAGGAGCCGCTGGTGAGTTTGAACCGTGACATTGTGATTAGCAGCCAAGCGCTTAATCAATGCCCACCAGGGCTCCTAGTTCATGTAATTTATATGGTTTTGTGATTTTACTAGTTAGGTTTCCTTTTTTCACTAAAAGCTTAAAGACTATTTCATAGATTGTTTTAAAGACTGGAGTCTTTGTTCTGAATGAACTATTTCTTCCCCTGAACTCCATCCCAAGGTGGTAATTCTAATCTGTGTAAATGAGATTACTTAGAGATTAAATGAGACTATGTATTGAAATGTACCTCTCTGAGTTAGGGGTTCTCATCTGTAACTTCCAAGTGCTATATGGTACTGTTCGGCTGCTTTTACAATTCTCTTTTAAAAATTTTAAAACGGAAAATACTGGCACCTATTTTATGAGAGTCCCTTTAATCTTTCCCAGCTGGGTTTTTTACTGGAACTGAGAACATAGACTGTGCTGGGCCACATGACATTCCCATTCCCATTGTGTTAGGGCCTTGGGGGATTTCAGAAACTTTCCCCTCAAAATGGCAGAGGTCAGTTTTCTGGACACTCTTCCTGGTGGGTCTAGGATGAGACGGACCAGTGGGTAGAATGAGATGGGGCTCACGGTAGTCCTGGCCCTTCCTCATTGTCTGCTGAGACACTCCTGGTGCAGGCAGTGGGGAATTCCACCATTGCCAGAAGCATGACTTTTGCCCTGAGTTGGTTCCTGTGTAGGGTGGGGAGGAGATGGGATTGCTTACCCTTGGCCTTAGAAGAATGCTTCCTTCCCTAGATGTTCCTGGAGGGTTCCTTTCAGAGCAGATGTGTCAGCATGAACAGTTGGAGCCCACCCAGGCTCTTGGACCTTGCAAACCAGAGCCTGCTGCGGCATGAGGCCTTGGTTATCGCCTCTCTGGAGTTGCTGCCCACGGAACTCTTCCCGCCCCTGTTCATGGCAGCCATTGCTGGGACACACAGCGAGACACTGAAGGCAATGGTGCAGGCCTGGCCCTTCACTCGCCTCCCCCTGGGGGCTCTGATGAAGGCTCAGCAGCCTCACCAGGACATCTTAAAAGCTGCGCTGGACGGGCTCGATGTCCTGCTTGCACAGAAGATTCGCCCCAGGTAATCGTAACCAATAGCCTGGTGGGATCCTGGATATCCGAGCAAGAAACAGCTGGGGTTAGGGAGAATGAGGGCCAAAGAGTGGTCCAGGGGCTTCTGATGGTGCCAATGTGGATGCTCTGGGAGGATTTGGGGCCAAGGCTGGGCTTGCTCTGGGAAGGGGCTTCCAGAAGGGCAGGGCTGATTAAGATGCAGGGGTGATTGAGGGAACATGTACCCACCACCTCCCAATGATATCGAAGGTACCAGAAGTTGGGGACCAGGTAGGATCCCACGGAAAGAGCAGATGGAGTAAAGTAAGGCAGAAAGAAAGGGGGAAGGGAGCCCCAGGTACGGGGTAAAAGCACAGGTCAAAAGTCTGCTTCTTGCTTAGATTCTGCGCTCATGGTCTCATTCTGAGCTGATCTTAAATCTCATCCAATCACCTGTCTTTCCCACAGGAGATGGAAACTGAAAGTGCTGGATTTACGGAAGAACACTTATACCAACTTCTGGAGCCTATGGTCTGGAACCTGGTCCAGGGCCTCTATGTGCTCACTAGAGGAGCCAGAGGTCACCCAGCCCAGGACTAAGAGGCAAAAAGTGGACAATTCAAGGACTGGGGAGAAGCAGCCCTTGACCCCGCTGGAGGTGCTCATAGATCTGTGCCTCATGGAAGACAGCCCGGGTGAATTCCTCACCTTCCTCATTAACAGGGTCAAGCAGAGAAAAAGTCTTCTACACCTGTGTAGCAGGAAGGTGACGATCGATGCGATACCACTCCAAAATATTGAGAAGATCCTGAAAATGGTGCAGCTGGACTGTGTTGAGGAGGTGGTAATTAGGAGCTGGAAACTGTCCACCCTTGCCAGGTTTGCTGCTCACCTGGGACAGATGGTTAATCTGAGCAGACTCTCTCTCTCTAACATTTACATGACTTCCCACATTTCCTGGGTGCTGGAGGAGAAGCAAGTTGCCCAATTAACCTCTCAGTTCCTCTGTCTGCACCAGCTCCAGGAGATCTACCTGGACTCTGTCGTCTTCCTCAAAGGCCGCCTGGACCAGGTGCTCAGGTGAGAGATGGCGTGGTTTCTCTGCAGACCAGAGCAAGCCTTTTTTCCATACTGTAAATGTGAATGGTCGTCTGCTGTGTGCCAACTGCTGGTGATGTGGCAGCGAACGAGACACTAGCATTTCAACACATTCTCATTCACTGCTCTATCCCCAAGCATGCTGTCACATAACCACCCACATAAAAGTAGAGGTAAACTGGGATAGAAGCCATAAGAAAAAACTTATATAGATCCTGGAATCCCTGGGTGATGTCAATGGTTAACACACTTGGCCGCTAACCGAAAGGTTGGAGGTTCGGGTCCACCCAAACGTGCCTCAGAAGAAAGGCCTGGTGATCTACTTCTGAAAACTCTGCCACTGAAAACCCTATAGAGCACAGTTCTACTCTAACATACATGGGGTTGCCATGAGTTGGTGTCGACTCACGACAACTTGTTACCGGTTATATAGAAGCTATGTTGTTAGGTGCTGTTGAGTTGATTTTTGACTCATAGTGATGCCATGTAACAGTAGAACTGCCCCATAGGGTTTCTCTCCCAGGCTGTAATCTTATGGAAGCAGAGTGCCACATCTTTCTCCCGTGGTGGGAGACCTTTCGGTTAGCAGCCAAGAGCTTAACCACTGTACCACGAGGGCTCCTAGGGTTCCTTATAGATGTTATGCTATAGCATATATGTGATAAGTATGTAGATGTTATATGCCCCTTATAAGATGCTATAAGGGACACTGTGCTAGGATACTATACAGTGGAGTTTCAGGCCTAGTGAGGGTGGGTTTGAGAATTCTTAGGAAGGTGATATCTAAGTTAAATAAGTGAAGAGGTTACTGAAAAAGAGAAAGCACGTCAACTTAGATGCCTCAAAATATGAGCCCTGCACTCTCCATTAGTTTTATGAACATGAGCGCCTCCTTCTGAACTGGCCTCAAATTCCTGCCTGTAAAAGGGTTGCTTTGAGCTCCTGGTAAGGTAACATACAGGAAATGCAAGATTCTGGAGATGAAGGTAAGGATGCAGGAGTGAAGAACTGTGACAGATGGTTTGCCAATGATAAAGGTATAAGCGAGCCCCTATGGGCTGGCAGCCCCAGCTGCTGTTGCCAGATCTTGCCCAGGCTTGCCCTCTATGGGCATGGCTTCAGCAGCTGCATCTGGCTCAAGCAGCTGGGACCCAGGCTGTACTAGAAGGAAGCCCGAGTTGAAAGTGTTTTGGTCATGTCTCCCAGCACTAAAATTCAATGGTGCCTGCTCTTGACTGAGACACTGAGTTGGACTCTCCAGTGCATGTTCTATCAGTATCTCATCCTCACAACCAGTAGGAGGGGTATAGTGCACTCTGTTTGACAGATGAGGAAGGGAGCTTTAGAGATTTCATTAACCTGACTCCGTCACACATTGATAGGTGATGGCGAAAAGACTCCATCTAAAATTGGACTGACTTGAATGTCATACTCCTTACAACATGGCATCCTGGGTGTGGACCATCATCAGATGGTCAGAACTCCCTTGGGCTTGGGTAAAATGGTTGGCTCCACCTTGAGTCCTTCCCCACCACCCTGCACCCACCACCACCATCTCCAGAATTAATGCTCTGTCTGTCCTCAGGTGCCTGAAGACCCCCTTGGAGACTCTCTCAATAACTAATTGCTTGCTTTTGGAATCCGACTTGATACATCTTTCCTTGTGCCCGGGCATCAGCTACCTAAGGGACCTGAGCTTAAGTGGTGTCAACCTGACTGGCTTAAGTCCCGAGTTCCTCCAAGTTCTGCTAGACAGAGCCTCAGCCACCCTCCAGCACCTGGACTTTGATGGGTGTGGGATTTCAGACTCCCAGCTCACTGCCATCCTGCCTGCCCTGGGCCGCTGCTCCCAGCTCATCACTTTCAGCTTCTGTCGAAACTCAGTCTCCATGGCTGTCCTGGAAAGCCTGCTGCGGCACATCATCCCACTGATCAAGTTCAGATTTGGGCTGTTTCCCACTCCTCTGGAGTGTTCTGTGGGCATCCAAGGCACTCTTCACCTGGGGACTCTTCGAGGGTGTCTGGCCAAGCTGAGGCTGATACAGCAGGAGTTAGGGCAGCCCAACAGGGTCTTGTTCAGTGCCTTTGCCTGTCCTCACTGTGGCACCAGAATATTGCATGACCTGGAGCCCATCCTATGCCCCTGTTATACACCTGCCTAGTTGGTATGCACATGTCTCACTGTATTCTGGGCACTTGGAGACTGGAACCAGACAGGAGTGCATCTTGAAGGAGCACAGGACCATTTCAGATGACTGCTCAATGTCAATGGAGAAACAGGAGGTGGCCCAGCAGGGGCAAGACTGGAGGCGGGAAGATGCTGACTTGAGGAGTTGATGGGACCTTTGGGGAGATGTGTCCTATAATCAAAATGGGAACTGGAATTTTAAAGGGTGGGGTTTGGTCTTGAGAAATACATACGCGAGTTATCCCTGCATGGGTAGTTGTAAAGAAATGGGCAGAAATAAATAGACTTCAATGGAAACCACCCAATGGCCTCTCTTACATATTAACCTGTGTTCTCAGTTTAAACCTCCAATTACAGATTACATAAAAAAGGCACTGAGAATCTATAATGTTTAGAAGCTCTAGGTGCAGAGATGGAGTTGGGTCCCAGGAGATCATAGCACCATTTATCATTCCCCCCAGTTTGTTTCTCCTTTTTGGGGGCATCTGTTGTTGTCTGCTGCTGTTGAGTCAGCCCAGGTTCATCGTGACCCCACACATGATGGGTGGAAAGAAACACTGCCTGGTCCTGCACCATCCTCATGGTTGGTTGTGGATCGAATCACTGGTCCATAGCGTTTTCATTGGCTGATTTTCAGAAGTAGATTGCAGGTTTTTATCCTAGCTGGGCTTAGTCTGTTACCTCCTGGCTTATTTCAGTGGCTGTTCAATGGGTCACTACGCGCAAGGTGAATCCTCAGGGCATGGAACTTAAGTGACCAGTGAGTGGGTGCCATTTAGGTAAGTGTTCTTAGCAGGGGTCCTCAATGCTAGCTCCACCAAGGCATTCCTCACATCACGAGCACTCCTCGCAATTCTCCATGTGGACCCATAAGTCTCCGTCCCTGATCTCTGGTTGTACCAGATGTCATGGATTGAAAGGTGTCCTCCCAAAATATGTGTCAACTTGGTTAGGCCATGATTCCCGGTACTGTGTGGTTGTCCTCCATTTTGTGATTGATGTAATTTTCCTATGTGTTATAAACCCTAATCTCTGCCTGTGGTTAATGAGCTGAGATTAGATTATATTAAAGAGGATTGGGTGGGATGTAACACCTTACCCAGGTCACATCCCTGATCCAATGTAAAGGGAGTTTCCCTGGGGTGTCACCTGCACCACCTTTTATCTTTCAAGAGATAAAAGGAAACAGAGAGTCGGGGACCTCATACCACCAAGAAAGTAGTGCCGGGAAAAGAATGTGTCTTTTGGACCCAGGGTTCCTGTGTGGAGAAGCTCCTGGTCCAGGGGAAAATTGATAAGAAAGACCTTCCTCCAGAGCCGACAGAAAGAGAAAGCCTTCCCCTGGAGCCGAAGCCTTGAATTTGGACTTCTAGCCTACTTTACTATGAGGAAATAAATCTCTTTGTTAAAGCCATCCACTTGTGGTATTTCTGTTATAGCAGCACTAGATGACTAAGACACCAGGAAAGAGCTTCACTGTGCACAAGTAACCATGTACGGGATGGGGATGTCCACACTGCAGATTGGCTGGAGCCTCTGGGCCTCACTAACCTCTGTCTGTCATCCCGGCAGGTGACAGCCCTAGTTGTGATTAGTAAAGACATCTAAGTCCCATCTGCCTTAAGCATTGTGCTTTTAAAGAACTATGTATATGGGATCAAATTGACAACAGCAACTCAAAAGATTAGATAGGAAGCTTAGGGGGCAGTGAGTTAATGATGAAGGAACAATTCAGCAAAGGAGGGTGAGGATGGTTGCACAACTTGAAGAATGTAATCAGTGTCACTGAACTGTACGTATAGAAACTGTTGAATTGTATGTTTTGCTCTGTATATTATTAACACAATTTTTGAAAAAATTTAAGACTAAAGATAAAAAGAAAAAAATGTACCTTTTCTTTTTTATTATTGTATTGTAAATGAAGGTTTACAGAACAAACTAGCTTCTCGTTAAACAGTTAGTACACATTGTTTTGTAACATTGGTTACCAACCCCAAGACGTGTCAACACTCTCCCTTCTTGACTTTGGGTTCCCAATCACCAGCTTTCCTGTCCCCTCCTGGCTTCTAGTCTTTGCCCCTGGGCTGGTGTGCCCCTTTGGTCTTATTTTGTTTTATGGGCCTGTCTAATCTTTGGCTGAAGGGTGAACCTCAGGAGAGACTTCAGTACTGAGCTAAAAGGATGTCCAGGCCATACTCTCAGGGTTTCTCCAGTCTCTGCCAGGCCAGGAAGTCTGGTCTTTTTTTGTGAGTTAGAATTTTCTTCTACGTTTTCCTCCAGCTCTGTCCAGGACCCTCTATTGTGATCCCTGTCAGAGCAGTCAGTGATGGGAGCTGGCTGGGTGTACTGGACTCAGTCTGGTAGAGGCTGTGGTAGTTTATGGCCCATTAGTCCTTTGACTAATCAAGAAAAAATATATCTAAATTCCTTTTAGCAAAATGCTAAAATAATACAGGCATATAACATGTTTTATTATTTCTATTCCACATTTTAATAGTTACATTCTTTTGTGGGGGGGTGTTTAGGTGATATCAAAGAGAGATTGACTTTCTTCCCATAAGATCTCCCCCTGAACCAGAAGAATTAGATGGTGTCCGGCTACCACCAATGACCTCCCTGACAGGGAACACAACAGAGAGTCCCTGAGGGAGTAGGAGAAAAGTAGGGTGCAGAACCCCAATTCTAGTAAAAAGACCAGACTTAAAGGTCTGACTGAGACTAGAGGAACCCCAGAAGACATGGCCCCTGGACTCTCTGTTAACCTAGAACTAAAACCATTCCGGAAGCCAACTCTTCAGACAAAGATTAGACTGGTCTATAAGACATAAAATTATACTCGGGAAGAGTATGCTTCTTAGTTCAAGTAGATGCACGAGACTAAATGGGCAGCTCCTGTCTGGAGATGAGATGAGAAAGCAGAAAGGGATAGGAGTTGGCTGAATGGACACGGGAAATCTGGGCTGGAAAGGGGGAGTGTGCTATCAGATTATAGGGATAGCAACTAGGGTCACATAACAATGTGTGTATAAAGTTTTGTATGAGAAACTAACTTGAGCTGTAAACTTTTACCTAAAGCACAATAAAAAATAAAAGATCTCCCCCAACCCTGTAAATATGTGGGAGGCTGCCTCTGAGCCCATGTGATGGCCTGGACTTTGGATCCCAGAGTGAGCAAACCCATGCCAGGTCCTGGGAAGCAGTGAGGTGGGAGCAGATGAATGTCAGACTTGGGAGCTGCAGGTGGAGAGGGGCCGTTCCACAGGGCAATCCATCCAAACAAAAGTGAGATGTCATATTGTGGGGTCAGACCCCATGGTCATGGGTTAAATAGGATGGTGGTTCCTGTATCTTTGAGTGGTCAAAAACCTCCTCCCAGTAATACGAGATCACAGAGGAGAAACCCTGAGATTTGCTTTTTGCAAGAAGCACGTAACACCTTCTAGTGCTTTCCTAGGAACTCTCCCTTGTGGAGGGGTTGTATGGATTGTGCTGGCTTGTGTTACTCTGATGCTGGAAGCTGTGACATCGGAATTTCAAATACCAGCAGGGTCCCCCATGGCGGACAGGTTTCACTGGAGCTTCCAGAGTAAAACTAGGAAGAAAGGCTTGGTGATCTACTGCCAAAAATTAGTCAATGATACCCTTATGGGTCACAACAGAACATTGTCCAGCTTGCTTGCTTTGGACCCATCATCAGGAAGAATCAATTGGGGAGGAGGACATCACGTTTGTTGAAAGAGGACCAGTGAGGGCGAGGGAGACCCTTGGTGAGCGTGAGATGGATTGGTACAATAGCCGCAATAATGAATTTGAAGATGCTGGCTATTGTGAGGATGTTTGGTTGTATATAAAGGTCTCCATGAGTCTGAGCTGACTCGACAGCAGCTAACAAAACCAATATGGATACCGGCGTGGATGAGCAGGCAAGATCCTTGACCCACGGGATTTGTAGTGGGTTGAAAAGTGGCCCCCAAGAGACATGTCCACCCAGAACCTCAGAAAGTGACCTTATTTGAAATATGGTTCCAAGCCGCAGGATTTGTCTGCCATCTGCTGGTAGATTAGGCCAGATGATATAAATCTAAATTAGTGTTAGAGCAGGACAAGTAGTATGCGCTATCTTTTAAAAGCTGCTGTTAAATAGGAGTCCCTGGGTGGTACAAACGGTTAAACGCCGTAAGACTAGCTGGAAGGTTGGCAGTTCAAACTCACCCAGAGGCGCCTTGGAAGACAGGCCAGGTGATGTGCTTCGGAAAGGTCACAGCTTTGAAAAACCTGGGGTCGCCATGAGTCAGACTCGGCTCAACAGCAACTAACAATAATTATGTAAATGCTACTTTTGTAAAAATATTTGTGTTGTGATTTATATAAATATTAAAGATTACATTGCCTTTTAAAATTAAGAGTTATCTATATGTGATCAAACTGACAACAGGAACTTGAGAGATTAGATTGGAAACTCAGGGGGCAGTGAGTTTATGTTAATGGGGGAGGAACAACTCAGAAAAGGAGGGTGAGGATGGTTGCACAACTGGAAGAATGTAATCAGTGTCACTGAACTGTACAGGTAGAAACTGCTGAACTAGTGTATTTCTGCTGTGTGTATTCTCAACAACAAAAACAATAAAATAAAATGTACAAAAGAAAAAGTTATAAAGGAAGTTTAGCACTATTAAAGAATAAATGTGGATATTAATAAAATTTTAACTTGGTTTAGAGTCTCAAGACAAATGAGACTTTAAAACTGATAAGAAGAAACAGAAATAAACAAATAAGCATTAAAGAAATTAAAACAGTAGAGACCTCTGACCTCCAAAGCTCCAGGTTCAGACATTTACCATGTGATTTCACCACACTTTCAAGGAACAGGTAATTCCTGTCTTGTACAAGATGTTCCAGAAAAATAGACAATCAGGGAAAGCTGTCTAATTCATTTTATGGGGCTAACTGTTACGGATTGTATTGTATCTCCCA